TGGCAAGAAATATTCAAAGTGATGAATAGCAAGGACCTACAACCAAGATTATTCTACCCAGCAAAGTCATCATTTAGAATTGAAGGTCAGATAAAGAGCTTCCCAGACAAGAAAAAGCTAAAGGAGTTCATCACCACCAAACCAGTATTACATGAAATGTTTAAGGGTATTCTTTAAGAAGAGGAGGAGGAGGAGGAGAAAGAAGGAGGAGGAGGAGAAGAAGGTAAAAAATATGAAGCCCTAGCTGGTTTGGCTCAGTGGATATAGCATCTGCCTGGGAACTAAAGGGTCCTGGGTTTGATTCTGGTCAAGGGCACATGCCCAGGTTGCAGGCTTAATCCCCAGTAGGGGAAATGCAGGAGGCAGCCGATCGATGATTCTCTCTCATCACTGATGTTTCTATATCTTCCTCTCCCTTTCTCTCTGAAATCAATAAAAATATATTAAAAATATGAACAATAAAATAGGAATAAATACATATCTATCAATAATTGAATCAAAAAATGAAAATAAACCAACAAGGAGTCTAATGAACAAAATAAACTGGTGAATAAAACAGAACCAGAGGCTGGGAAACATGGAACAGACTGAGGAATCTCAGAGGGAAGGGGGTGGGTGGGAAGAGAATAACCAAAAAATTATATGCATATATGCATTACCTATGGACACAGACAATATGGTGGCAAAGGGCCTGGGGTGGAGGGGGCAATGGGGGGAAATAGGGGGACACCTGTAATACCCATATCAACCAATAAAGATTTAAAAAATACACTGGATTGATCAGGAGAAAAATTTAAAAAATAAACAAAGGGAAAATCCCTTAGAGGGTTTCTAGGTGGCCCCTCCCCTAGGGTCACGGGGTTCCCTCAAGGCTGAACCCCAGGTTTATGCCTCCTCCAGTTACAGAATTATTAGCACCAGGACTCCTAGTGCACAGGCAGCAGTCGCCCATGAACTCATGGTGTCCCAGAGTTTATAGCCCAATGATCCTCCCCTCCCCCACCTCATTCTGCAGACCTTTTTAAAATATATATACATATATTTTTATTGATTTCAGAGAGGAAGGGAGAGGGAGAGATAGAAACATCAATGATGAGAATCACCGATTGGCTGCCTCCTCTACACACCCAATAGGGATCAAGCCTGCAACCCGGGCATGTGCCCTTGACTGGAATCGAACCCGGGACCCTTCAGTCTGCAGGCCAATGCTCTATCCACTGAGCCAGACCAGCTAGGGCTCTGCAGACCTTTTGGTGAAGAGCCTCCATCACAGGGTCTGTCCTGCACACTCCGGGACATTCAGCAGCATCAGCATTCTGGCCTCCACACACCAGATGCCACTGGCACCAGCCCCTCCCAGTGGGACAATCAAAAATGCCCCAGACACTGCCCAGTGTCCGTGGGGGCAGAATGGCCACTAGCTGAGCAACGCTGACTTAAGGCCTGACCCCTGACCTCACTCCCCAAACCCCGATCCTGCTCAGGCCTGACCCCTGACCTCACTCCCCAAACCCCGATCCTGCTCAGGTCTAACCTCTGACCTCACTCTCCAAACCCCGATCCTGCTCAGGTCTAACCTCTGACCTCACTCTCCAAACCCTGATCCTGCTCAGGTCTAACCTCTGACCTCACTCTCCAAACCCCGATCCTGCTATCTCTTTTTCCACAGTATTTCTCACCTTGGAGCATGTTGCATAGCAGATTTATGGTCTTATTGTTTGTCGCCTGTGTCCCTGCAGCTTCAGGGAGACAAGGTGCCAGAACACCCCTCTCTGGTTCAGGCAGGTCAAAGCCCTTCAGCTCCCACGATGCCCCTCCTAGAACCTTCTGGGCCCCTGCAGACCCCACCTTCAGACAGAGCCTTGTGTTTGGGGGATTAAAGGGTGAGGCTGTGCCCTTTGGCTGCTCAGGACCACGTGGAGCCTGAATGAGAGTCTGGATTGGCCCTGGGAGGGGTTTGGCTGGGTCTGGCCCTAAGACAATGGCAAAGGCATTCCAAAGTTGAAATCCCCCTGCAACCAGCGGCATGCCAGGGCCGGGGATGGGCACCGGGAATGCCAGGAAGGCGCGGCGACGTCTGGTGCTCCCAGAGCTCCTGGAGAAGGTCCCAGCTTGGCCGATGCCTTGATTTCGACCTTGTGAGAGCCCAGTTGAGCCCACCGGGACTTCCAACCTACAGAACTGTGAGCTGATACATAGGTGTGCTTTATGCTGCTAAACTTGTGGCCACTTGTTACGTGGCATGACTAGCTGATACGTGAACTGAAGCCTGGAGAGGGTGTCGTCTGCCAAGGTTGCAGGGAGGCAGGGCAGATGGGCGAGATGAGCCCACAGAACCACAGAGCCCACCTGATCACAGGGAAGCTGCTGCCTCCTCTTCTGCCTCCTCCCTCCCTGGGCTGGGACCTGCTCCAGCTTCGTCCGTGCTGCTGCGGGAGCAGCCTGGGGCAAGCAGAGCCCCGTGCGCACAGAACCTGGGCCCGACCGGCGACGTGTGCCCAGCTGCTGTCCCCACCCGCTTCTGCTGTCCCGAGCCTCATCCTGTGACTCTGTCTTGCTCTCTCTGGTGGCTCCTCCTGCTCTCTCTCCCTTCACCTGCATGTCTAACCATCAGCCCTCAACCTGCCCCCTCCGCTGGGCACTGTCTCCCTGGAAGCTGCTGACCTCCCTCCACAACACCACCCCCCACCTCGCCAGCAACTTCTCCCTCCTCCCCTCAGGACCCGGTGTCCCTGAAGTTCGGCCTGCTTTCCTCCTGATATCCCAGGGGCTTCAGCTGGGTGGAGCCCTCAGCTGGGTGGAGCCCTGACCTCTCTCTTCAGCCCCCCAATGTCCAACTCTGCCGGAGGACGCACCCCGTCCTCTGCAGGGCCCTTCCCAGCGTCCTTCTCTCTGCTGCTCGCTCGTGTGTGCTGCTGCTAAGTCACAT